AGCTGATGACAAAACGATGGATAAGAAAGTAAATTATGTAGAAGACGTAATGAGGTCTCAAAACAATGTAGCTAAGTTAAGTGAGTAAGAACAGATCTATAATATGAAGAGAAAGTTCATAATCTTTTTAATTGACTTGTCTGAAGGGACAGTAGACATAGTTGCTAAAATTGTTGATGACACAAGAATAGGTCGGAAAGTAAGTTGTAAACAGGATGTAAAGAGGATACAAAAAGATATAAGTTAAGTGATCAGGTTAAGAGCAGGGTGCGATGGAATATACATATGGGATGCAGAGAAGCCATACCACAATGCAGCAGAGTTCATCAAAAGAAACATATTTCCGTTCTCTCAATATGCAGGTGATTTCTGATCACTGGTACCAAGTCTTAGAAGTTTGCATCCAGTACCTTAGAGCTGCCATGATTCCGACATCCTTGAGAACTCACATGTTGCCTCTGCTTTTGAGGTACCAGACTTCCAAGGAGGAGGAGAATGAGGATGAAGATATTGAGCTGCAGAATCATCACCTCATGCATGATACATCGCAGCAGTCCTGGGTAGTACAAGCCAAACAGGCCTTAATTGACACCCTGTTCCAGTAGATGACAGCTAGGTACAATGATTACTCTTTGACTGTGAAATACTTATTGCTCACATGCGGGCAGTTTGTTTGCGTTGCAGCTCCTGCTTCACTTTTGGTACTTACAAGCGAGAGTTACAATTTTGAATTGTTTGAAGGCTTCCCTATATGTGATGGCCCCACATAGAACAATGATAGGTTGCTGGCCTATAGACGTTGGCAAAAAGGTAGCATTAATTTAGAGAGGCCTGAAAGATGAGGTATTTCTAAGGACTGGTGAATAGCATGGCCTGGCATACAATGAAAGATATAGGAATATGCAGTTGTAAGTACAAATCAGTACCAGTATAACTTTATTTTTTAAATAGTGCAGCAACTGGTCTGTATAGGGTGCTGCATGGCGTACTCTGTTCCTATATTTTCAGTTGGCTATGACTGAAATCTTAAAATACAGCCTAGAAAGTGGATCCCTCAATATAAAGGAAGCCGTCTACACTTTTAAAGCTCTTAGATTTCCTAGAAGATTGTTAAAACAGAATGTCAGTAGACCAATGCACTTTGCCTAATGGAATGAAAGCTGTTGTTTCTTGAAGCAGAGAAAAGATTTTGCATTTTGTCAGCTATGGCACACTTGATAGCACTCTCATCTCCCAAACTAATCACAAAAATTCTAGGCTGACTCTCCAGTGCAATTGTGAGGGAGGCTGCATTAATGGAGGTGCTGTGTTTTGGATGACCCATTAAACTAACACCCTTGCCACCCTCTCGTTGGGTATAAAAAAACCTAGTAGTACTATTTTGAAAAAGCACAGGGAAGTTATGTATTGGAATATTGCAAAATCTAATGTAAAGATTCCAAGCATTCTGTATTGCTTTTTCACAATAGACTTTTAACAGTGCCATGATGCAATAGCAATCTCCAAAAGGAGATCAATGGAAAGCTAAAAATCAGATCAGCATTATCTTATTAAACGACTGAGCAGACTCGAAGGGCACATGGCTTACTCCTGCTCTTTTGTTCATATGTTTTTGCAGCATTTGTGCAGAAAGAAAGCCAGGGTTAACTTTACAAGACTTTGATATTTAGAAGTTAAATGCTGTTGCTGCTTCTTTCCACAGATGCTGCCAGAGAAGCTGACTATTTTTCCAACATTTTCTGTTTTTATTTCTGGTTGGAACATTCCCAGAGGTTTGATCACATGGCATTCTAACCATATGACATCCAATCATGCCATGCCTTATCACATGACATTAGATTGCATGACTTCTACAAATGGTATTGCATTTACTTTATAAAGGTTGTGCTTACCATAATTGAATATTTTACTTGTGATTTTGTGCCAGCAATTGTTGTTTGAGTTGCTCTAAGAACTTGAAGGCCGCCTTTGGGCAGATGAAGTCGGGACACTGAGCGTGGGAAATCAGAAGATAGAGAAAAGGAAATCAAGGACCGGGAATCTGAGGGCAGGGAATTAGAGAACTGCAAAAGGTTGAGTCAGGTAATGGGAATTGAAAAAAATTGAGGGTGGGAAATCAAGACATGAGGGCATCATTTTCGACAGCTCCAAGCAGTGCTCAAACACAAAAAAAAATCAGAATGTCATAAATCCTGGAAGTCCTGTTTAAATCCTGGAACTCCCTCCCTAATGTCATTGTGTGTCTACCTACATGAAATAGACTTCAGAGGTTTAAGACGGCAGCTCATCACTACCTTCTCAAGATGGACGAGGGATGGACAATGAATGCAGGCCCAGCCAGTAACACCCACAACCCATGAATGAATATAAAAAGAACAGAGGCTGTGAAATAAATTTCAGTGGTTTAAGACAGTCATCTCAGTGTGTTGTTGCTCTTTCCTCTCTCTGCCATTGTTCTGTATAAAGCTGGAATCAAGCTCATTAAAATACAAAAAAGCTGTTGGAACCTTGTAAGAGTAGATGCCGAGTGGCTGATTCCCGTCACTGGAGAATCTAAAACCAGACAGCAAAATCTTAGGATAATGGGTCAGATATTTAGGAATAAGATGAAGAGAAATTTCATCACTCAACTCATTATGAATCTTTGCAATTCTGTGCCCCAGTGGTCTGTCGATGCTCAATCATAGTAAATAAACAAGACTGAGATTGATTAAGTTTTCAACACTAAAGGAACCCAAAGACCATATGATGTAGAAACACTTGTAAGCCATCCAGCCCATCAAGTCTGCTTCACCATTCAATGGAATCATCTCTGATCAACTCCACTTTCTTGTCTTTTCCCTATAACTTTGATCACCTTACTAACTAAAAATCTGTGTCTATCTCAGCCTTGAATATACTTAATGACCCAACCTCAAAAGCCCTTTGCATTAAAAATTCCACGGATTCACTACCTTCTGAGAGATGAAATTCCCCCTAATCTCTTAAATCTTAAAGCTGTGAACCCTTATTCTGAGATTAGGTCCTCTGGACTTAGACTCTCACACAAGTGGAAACAACCTTTCCGCATCTACCTTGTCAAGTCCCCTAATAATCTTGTGCATTTCAATAAAGTCATCTCTCATTCTTCTAAATTCCGATGAGTACAGGCCCAACCTATTCAACCTCTCCTCATAAGACAGTACCTCCATACCTGGGATCAGCCTTGTCATCCTTTTTGGATTTAAAGTAGTACCAACAGCACGGGTTCAAATCTCACACCAGCTGAGGTTATCATAAAGGAGAATCCTTCCCTGCCCTTCCCCTCTCCTGAGGTGTGGTGACCCTCAGGTTAAATCACTACCAGTCATCTCTGTCCAATGAGAAAGCAGCCCTATGTTCTGATGGGACTTGTTATATCTTTTTATATCTTCCTCCACAGCAGGTGGACTGCGGCGGTTCAAGTACAGCTCACCACCACCATGTCAAGGGCAACTAGGGACGGGCAATAAATGCTGGCCAGCCAGTGACGCCCACAACCCACAAAAATGAGTAAATAAAGAAGGAAATCTTTTCTTAGATAAGGAGCTGTTCATAGTTTTCCAGGTGTAGTCTGAATAGTGTCTTGAACAGGTAGGTTCTCCTATAACGTGATAGTTGCATTCTTGTGTGACGTCATGCTATGGAAAATCATCATAGAAAATCATGTTATCGGGAAATCGCTGTGGAAAATCACTATACCTGTACAGCAGAAAGTTTGCGTTATCCAAACAGCATCCATTATTCATCCGCGTTACAGTCAATTCGCATTAACGAAACACACGTTACAGCAGAACTACCTGCATAGTTTTAGTAAAACCTCCCTGCTTTAATATTCCTCTCTCTTTGAAATAAAGGCCAATATTCCATTTGCCTTTCCTATTGCAAGGTGAACTTGATACTACTTTTCAGTGATTCATGGACAAGGACTTCCAAATCCCTCTCTTCTGTAGTCTTTCTCCATTTAAATAATATTCAGTTACTCTATTCTTCCTGCCAAAGTGCATTACCTAGCGTTTTCCCACATTATATTCCATCTGCCAAATTTTGTCCACTCTCTATACCTCTTTCTTTAATTTCCTCAAAGAATTCTAATAAATTTGTCAGGCATGGTTTCCACTTTAGTCAGACTCAAAGATGTAAGAAGTAAAAGGAAGTAAGAGAGATGACAAATAGAAAGGAAAAGTGTTAATGCAACAACTTAGTCAATCTTATTGCTCCTTTTCCTTAAGTCCTTATAATAATAAGGCCTTTCAAAGTGAAATCAGAAAGTATTTTTTCCACACAAAAGTGGAACTCTATCGCCATACCCTGCACAAAAGAATATGAATGCTGGCTCAGTTGAAATTTAAAGACTAATTTTGAAATATTTTGTTATTTATATCTATCATGAGGTATTGAGCAAATGTGGAAACATGAAGATGAGAATCAGATCAGCCGTTACCTGATTGAAAGATAGGAGACACCAAAGCAGCTGGATGGCCTTAATAGAGTCATAGAATTATAAAACATGGAAACAGACCCTTTGGCCCAACTCGTCCACACTGACTAGGTTTCCTAAACTGAGTTAATCCCATATGTACGGTGGCTCAGTGGTTAACGCTGCTGCCTCATAGTGCCAGTGACCCGAGATTGATTCCACCCTTGGGCAACTGTCTGTGTGGAGTTTGCACCTTCTCCCTGTGTCTGCATGGGTTTCCTCCCACAGTCCAAAGGTGTGTAGGCTTAGTGGATTGGCCATGCTAAGTCATCAGGAAACTGATCACTAAAATATGTTTTAGTAATAAAAATCAATGGTTTTGCTTATTTACATTATGTTTTATAATGCAATACTGTTCACAATTAACATTTCAAATTAATTTTTAACAAATATTTGTTTGTGCAAATATGAATATACATAATTGTTTGCCTTAACTAAGTATGGTGCTTTATATATTAATATAAGTATTTAACTTCCTTTTTCTCTTCCTTTGTTTAAACAGGAAATATATTTGTTGTCAGCCTGGCCGTTGCAGATCTAATAGTGGCAATCTACCCATACCCCATGGTCTTGACATCCATATTTCACAATGGCTGGAATCTGGGCTACATGCATTGTCAAATCAGTGGTTTCCTGATGGGTGTGAGTGTGATCGGATCAATTTTCAATATTACCGGCATTGCCATCAATCGGTATTGTTACATCTGTCACAGTCTGAAGTACGACAAGCTCTACAGTGAGAAGAACTCCTTGTGTTTTGTAATCCTCATTTGGATCCTGACATTTATCGCTATCATACCAAACCTGTTTGTGGGATCTTTGCAATATGACCAGCGAGTCTACTCTTGTACATTTGTGCAGTCAGTGAGCTCTGCCTACACTGTCTCGGTGGTGTTCTTTCACTTCATCCTCCCTATTGCCATTGTTACCTTTTGCTACTTGAGAATATGGGTCCTTGTCATCCAGGTCAGAAGACGTGTGAAGCCAGTCATGAAACTCAAGCTGAAGCCCCACGAGTTGCGGAACTTTGTGACAATGTTTGTGGTCTTTGTACTCTTCGCTGTTTGTTGGGCACCCCTTAATTTTATTGGTCTTGCCGTGGCTGTCAACCCAGATACAATTGCCCCAAGGATTCCAGAGTGGCTCTTTGTGGCGAGTTACTTCATGGCATATTTCAATAGCTGCCTTAATGCAATTATCTATGGACTTTTGAATCAGAATTTCAGAAGAGAGTACAAGAGAATTATAATCTCTCTGTGCACTGCAAGGATTTTCTTCCCAGAGAGTTCAAATGATGTGCCTGACAGAAATAAAAGTAAACCTTCTCCTTTGATGACAAACAATAATCAAGTGAAGGTAGATTCTGTCTAAATGGTTCATGCATTCACTTCACGTGCCAGCCAATGAATCTTAAACAAAAAGCGCATAATATAGAATCGATGGAAAGCAAAACATATTGTCAATGATTGTTAAACTTATGTTTGATTTTATTACATATGTTATTTTACAAATTAATGAAAACTGTACAATTCTATTATACAGCAGTGACTGATGTTTTAGGAAGCAGTAAATTTCATTAGATTATAATCATATCTATGTTAAAATATATATGGAGAGAGAATATATATTTTAAAATAATTGATGAACTCTTACAGAAACGAGAATAGGAAAGTTCATAATTAAAATTGAACACTTGAACACAAGTATCTTAACTTAGATTTAAATCTGTAAGTTGAAATTCTTTTACTGGTTCAAAAACTGGAAAAACTCAGCAGATCTGGCAGCATCTGAGAGAATTCAGTGTTAACATTTCAGGTCCAGTGACCCATCTTCTCTTTTAGCATATCTAAGATTGGAAACAAACAGCCAGCTGAAATCACATTGTGATTGCAGCATATTAGACATTTTTTAATAAAAATTACATTTACAAAAGTGGATTTGAAAATCAGAATGGCTCAGGTTGTAAATATTACAGAGTCTGAAGTGCACAGTCAAATTTGAAACTATATTTTAAAACACAATCACAGCAGAAAGTGATAAAAGAAAGTATTTTAGCATGTTTACCAATTTCAATTTGATTAGCAAAATACAACGTATTTTTGAAGAGTCATGAAAAAACTGAGTTGCCAATTATAAAATGAGATGTCTAATTTGGTTAGGGTGCATGCAGTTCTTGTATACAAAAATGATTTTAGTTTTACCAAAAGTGCTTTTATAAAGTTTGATATGACGGTTTTGGCTTCAGTGTTATGAAAAAACTTGTTTGAAACGTTTCTGTGGTGTAACTGGTTTTGAAAGTCAAGAGTACATAATTGCTTAACAGGCTAACATATCCTGCGCATAATTTTTGTGGCAAAAGTATTCAGTTCAATTCAATTCAATTATATTGACAATTGATCAGTTGAAAGGCTAAGTATATTGTGTCAGATGGGAGTGACTCCCATTGGGACCTAAATTGGGAAGCCTCTGCAAAAAAACCTTAGGGATTGCAATTTGTAATTACTAGGTGCCCGCACACCAGCTTCATGTTGCCTGCTCCCTTGAATAATCTCTACATGGGCCCTCTTGTGGCTCAGGAGCAGTGTCCCGACTCTTGGACCTAGAGGCCTAGGATTAAGACCCACCTGCTCCAGAGGTGTGCAAGAACATCTCTGAAAAGGTTGAGTAGGAAAAATAAGTTAAATAAAAAAAGAATAATCTCTGCATCCAGCCAGTGTTAGCCACGCTGCTAATTGGCGGGACTCTGTCATGGTTAGCAATGGTTGTTTGGCCCTAAACCTTTCCAGCAGGTCTTAAAGGAGCAGTGTGTTGTGTTTGGATCGGATCGCGATGCACGTGATTAATCTGGAACAGGAGTGAGGAATGGCTGAATAGGGAAGTGAGTCAGCTCTGAGGTTTCCAGATGCTGCAGCGGAAGTGTTGTTGGAGGAGGTGGACAGGAAAAGAGATTTTCTGTATGTGCAATGGGAAGGAGACCTGCCAACTCCAATCAAAGTGCAGTAGTGTCCATTTAAAGGATAGATTAGGGTTCAATGCTACAAATGGCAAGATATTTTTCTAAATAAACATGTTAGGAGATGTTATTCCACACTTCTGGAGCAAGTGGAATTTGAAACTGGGCCTCCTGTTTCAGAGGTAGGCACACTACAACTACACCATAACAGCCCTAAAAACTGCTTCTCATCAACCTGCATTTGGTAAGATGACAAAGACAAATGGGCTGCAGCTGATTGGTCTGCTGTTAGACATTCACTAAAACCTACACAAATTTTACATCTGATGTGCTTCGTTGATCAATTCAGTGCCCGCTGCAGATTTTTGAAGAAATGACAAAGAGGATTGATGAAGGCAGAGCGGTGGATGTTGTCTGTATGGACTTCAGCAAGGTGTTCGACAAGGTTCTGCACGACACGCTGGTTAGCAAAGTTGGATCGCATGGAATCCAGGGAGAACCAATCAAATGGATACAAAATAGGCTTGCAGATAGGAGACAGCGGGTGATGATGGAGGGTTGTTTTTTGGACTGGAGGCCTGTGATCAGCAGTGTGCCACAAGAATCGGTGCTGGGTCATTTCTTTAAATCATTTATATAAATGAATCGGATGTGAATATAGGAGGAATGGTTAGCAAGTTTGCAGATGACACCAAAATTGGTGGCGTAGTGGATAGCAAAAAATGTTATCTCATACTACAATAAGACTTTGATCAGATGGGCTGATGGGCTGAGGAGTGGCAGATGGAGGTTAATTTAGATAAATGTGAGGTGTTGCATTTTGGTAAGGCAAATCAGGGCAGGACTTAATGGTAGGGTTCTGTGGAGTGTTGACAAACAAAAAAGATCTTGGGCTACAGGTTTATACTTCCTTGTAAGTGGAGATACAGTTAGACACAGTAGTGAAGGAGGAGTTTGGTACACCTGCCTTAGTTGGTCAGTGCACTGAGAATAGGAGTTGGGATGTCTTGTTTTTGTGGCTATACAGGACATTTGTTAGACCACTTTTGGAATACTGCATTCAATTCTGGTCTCCCTGCTATAAGAACAGTGTTGTTAAACTTGAAAGGGTTCAGAAAAGATTCACAAAGATGTTGCTGGGGTTGGAGGGTTTGAGATACAGGGAGAGGCTGAATAGGCTAGGGCATTTTTCCCTGGAGCATCGGACACTGAGGGGTGACCTTATAGAGAGTTATAAAATCATGAGAGGCATGGATCGGGTGAATAGCCAAGGTCTTTTTCCTAGGGTTCAAAACTAGAGGGCATAGGTTCAAGTTGAGAAGGGAAAATATATTTGGGACCTAAGGGGCAACATTTTCATGCAGAAGGTGGTGCGTATATGAAATAAGCTGCCAGAGGAAGTGATGGAGGCTGGTACAATTACAAAATTTAAAAGGCATCTGGATGGGCGTAAGAATAGGAAGGATTTAAAAGGATATGGGTCAAATGCTGGCAAATGTAACCAGATTAATTTAGGATACGTGGTCAGCATGGACAAGTTGGACTGAATGGTCTGTTTCTGTGCCATACATCTCTATGACAATTTGGAAATCTATGGACAATTTCAACACCCAAAATACCCTTTCTACTTCAAACACCCTGGGGATTTTATTTGTACTTATGGAAACTGTTTCTGTGAATATTTTTCCCCTGGTAATTATCCAGCCTACCTACTCATAATAGATTGTATGACATCTGGACTAAAAGCAAATGATAAAATAAAAGTTACAAACCATTTCACACAATTCTGTGCTCCCTGGCCCTCTGATGGCAGCAGCAGGTGTGTTACCACCATTCATTGGTGATTACCAGTTATGCTGGGTGGCACTGCAAGCCAAAGCTGGATCCCCTCTCATACTCAGTCCAAGTGACAGGAATTCATTGCCACCTACAAAATCCAGCCAAACAGAATTGAATATAAGAATGATTATGTAACAAGTAATTCAAGTGGAGAAAGACGTGTCCGATTTCCAATCCTTAAATGCACTTTAGAACAGAGTATGAATCCCAGGCATAAGGTGACTTAAAATATCAAATGGCAAAATCTACTGCAATGATTTAAAGTTCAAGAGGTAATTTGAATGGTTTTTTTTATTTTAAATGTAGTATACAGTGAGTTTATGACACTGACGAAAAGGAAAGGTCACCTTGACCAGAACTTACCCCAATCAATGGTGTTTTTTTCTCATCCAGTATCCTGAGAACCTGGAAAAGTATTAAAATTAGGCATTCTGAAAGATCAATCACATAATTTAAGGCAAAAATCTAAATAATACCCATTCTACCCCTTTGGGGATTGTGGCTTAGTGATTCATTTTTGTTCTTTTTATAAGCAAATGTATAATGGAGGTGATTGCTTGCACCTTCTGTTCTTAAGCATTCACAGCACTGAGAAAAATGCAAAGTACATCAATGCAGATCTAAAAATCAAAGCTTTGCACATTGTGGGATTGAGTCTTTTTCATCCAGTTATTGTCTGAGAGTTGCAACATTACTGTTTCGTGATTTACTTTGTTAACCTCATCTTTCCTTTTAAAGTTTGATGGTCTGTCCATAAATTAACTCCATTGACAAATGGAGGTCCTTTTTTTTAAATGGTTTTAGAACACATAGAATCCCTACAGTGTGGAAACAGGCCCTTTGGCCCAACAAGTCCACACCAACCCTTGGAGCATCCCCCTATAACCCACCTAATCTACACATCCCTTAGCACTACAGGCAATTTAGCATGGCCAATCCACCTAACCTAGACATCTTTGGACTGTTGGAGGAAACCGGAGCAAACCCACACAGACACAGGGAGAATGTGAAAACTCCACACAGACAGTCACCCAAGGGTGGAATTGAACCCAGGCCCCTGGCGCTGTGAGGCAGCAGTGCTAACCACTGAGCCACTGTGTTTTATGCTGTCCCAGATTGTGCTGACATGAGCTATGTCTAATATGAAGTACATTATATCTGCTTGGACTTGATGCCCTCTTCTTGTTTTGAGTATATAAGATAATTGCCATGACTTCAATTCAGGATAAGATTCATGCCAACAGGGGCTGGGATAGGCAACAAAGTATCTTGTAGTTGGCAACATAAACCCTGTCAATTCTAACTCCTAGTTCTCATCTGCATAAGTGCCATTAGTTTCCTCCCTGAATCCAGTGGGAAGTGACAGGTTGTTAGGGGCAATATGGGGAATGAAATCTCACTGGATGTTTGAGGAAATGGCCCCCGGCTCTCAGGAACATTGCTAGGAGGAGATTCAGGATGGCTTTATTGTCAAGAATTAGGGGAAAGCTTAGGTGAGAGAAGGTTGGACATTTCAAGCTGCTCCTGGAGTTATAACAAGCAACCTTCCTTACCTTGTTGAGCATGTTCCAGCCTCAAC